ACAACCATCTGTAACTCCAATTCCAGGGGATCTGATGCCCTCTTCTGTCCTCAGAGGGCACTGCATGACATGGGCGCGTTTACATATGTGCATACAATACAGTCATACACATAAAATAAAAATTAAATAAAATTTTGAAAATGTTGCCAGGCATGTTGGCACATGTCTTTAGTCTCAGCACTTGGGAGGTCAAGGCAGACAAATCTCTGAGATTGAGGCCAGCCTGGGCTACATGGAGAGTGCCAGGCCAGCTGGGGTTATGGGTTTTTAAAAATGTTTTAAAAAGCTATATAATGTACACTGAGCAGTTACCCACTTGATTCTAACAATAACCCTTCTGAAGCTAAGTTTGATTTCTGAGTATGAATTCATTAGATGAGCCCATTGACTTATGTCTGTTCAATAATATCTTGTTAGTGATGCTTTTCTACACATAAGATGTTGTGTTTTCTAAATCAGCTTTCCCAGAAAAGGTGAATATAGGTCTCTAGACACTTAGAAGTGCTGTCATCCCAGCCGGCTTGAACCACCAGGCATGGGTTGTAGGGTCCTTCAGGTTAATTCTTACAGCTCACAAAATAGTAAGCATATGCTTGATTTCCCCACCCCCTCAGGATACTGTCGTAGCTCTCCAAGCTCTTGCCAAGTATGCCACGATTGCCTATGTGTCATCTGAGGAAGTCAACCTGGCTGTAAGATCCACTGAGAATTTCCAGCGTACTTTTAACATTCAACCCACCAACCGATTAGTATTGCAGCAGGAGACTCTGCCCAGCATCCCTGGAGTATACACTGTGGAGGCCTCAGGCCAGGGCTGTGTCTATGTGCAGGCAAGCAGAGGTCCATGGTCCATGAGAATGGAGTGCATGGAAAGGAGGGTCAGGGCATCCTTACCCAAATATAATCCCTCCCTTCCTCCTCCCTTTCTCCCTCCTCTTCTCTGCTCTCTTCCTCTTCTTCTTCATCCCTCCCCTCTCCCCTCCCCTCCCCTCTTTCCCTTCTCTCTCTTCTCTCTCTCTCTCTCTCTCTCTCTCTCTCTCTCTCTCTCTCTCTCTCCTCTCATCATATTTGTAAGGAAAGTAGCCTGAACTATACAATCTCCAAGGTTCTTCCCAATTCTGATTTGGTTATTTATCTCTTTCTACCAGATGGTGTTGAGATACAACATTTTCCCTCCTAAAAATTTGGAGACTTTTAGTCTTCATGTGGACACAGGAAAAGCTGGATGTGAACAACCCACTTCACCTCGATCCTTGACTCTCACTATTCAGACCAGGCAAGGAAAGCTAGGGGCACCCGGCTCATAGGAGCTGAACTGCTGTACATGTGTGTGTATGCACACGTGTGTGAGGATGCAATAGGCTAACACATATCTGCTTTCTTCCTGCCCGCAGTTACGTGGGAAGTCGCAGCTCTTCCAATATGGCTATTGTGGAGGTGAAGATGCTGTCTGGGTTCAGTCCTGTGGAGGGCACCAAGCAGTTAGTAAGTGGCTTCTGTTTTCTTTATTTAACTAGCTCTGAGAAGACCTAACATTGTTGACAAACAAAAACCTATGAAGTAGGCATTGTCTTAGATGTCTGCACATGCATATACATACATACAATTCACAACTGGATTATCTAAATGGGCTAATAAGGTGCATAGGTATATGAAATGGAGCCTCTAAAAGTCTTAATAGTCTTGGTTCCCTTTGCTTTTTTTTTTTTTTTTTTTTTTCTGTGCTGGGGATGGAACCCAGGGCCTTACACAAGCTAGGCAAATATTCTACTCCTGTCCTACGTGCCTAACCCTTTCTTTACTTGGAGGATTACCCCAGGGATAGTAAAGGCCCTGTTTCAGGCTCTTAACCCCTGTCTTTCTCTTTCCTTCTTTTTTTAAATTTAGCTTCTCCAACAACCACTGGTGAAGAAGATTGAGTCTGGAACAGACACACTCAACATTTACTTGGAAGAGGTAGGTGTTCAGAACTACACCAAGGAGCTTGATTGTGTGTGCCTTGGTGACTTTCCCTCAGATCCACATATCCTAATGTCTGTCTGTCACATACACAGAGATGCAGGGCCTGAGCATGTCCACAGCAAGAGATGCCCCACGCTGCTATACCTTAAGGCATGTGCTGCCCTAGTAGAGGAGCATCGTCCAGCAGAGAGATAGACTGAGCTGTTTATGCCATTTGCAATGTTCTATTTGCCGTGTTCCAGAAAATAAACAGATGAAATTAATGTTAATAGTATTTTATTCAATTTGTACTCTCAAATATTTCAATTTTATTATATAGTGATGCATAAAAGTACTACTGAGATATCTCCACGTATATATTCTTTTTTGTGTTTCACCTTTGAAATCCAGTATGTGAGGGCTAGAGAGATGGCTCAGCAGTTAAGAGCACTGGCTGCTCTTGCAGAGGACCTGAGTTCAGTTCCCAGCACCCACAGGCAGCTAACAACCATCTGTAACTCCACTTCCAAAGAATCTGATGCCCTCTTCTGTTCCCTGTGGGTACTGCATGTACATGGTTCACTTACATGCAGGCAAAATACTCATACACATAAAAGAAAAAAATCTATGTGCTTTACACTGTCAGCTCATCTCAGTTCTTTCTGGCCAATTCTGAGTGCTCAGTAGCCATAAGCATCATTCCAACTCTAGAATATAACATAGCAGTTAAGAGCAAAAACTTTAAAACCAAAATGCCTGCTGTAAACGCTTAGTTTTAGCATTGCTTATGTAACTTGGGGCAAATTGTTGAATTTCTCTGTTTCCTTAGCTGTGAAATGAGTTTCTGATAAAAATTGTTATCTATGTCACAGAGCTTTATTTTATTTTTACTTATTTATTTGCAGTGCTGGAAATTAAATCCAGCTACTGAGCTACACCCTTACCCCATAGAGCTTTTGAAAGAATTAAATGATTTAAGACTTCAAAAATATTTAGAACTGTTCCTGGTACAAAGTAAGACCTCAATATGTGCTATATATTCATTTCATTTTATTGTAATCAGATTAATTTTTAAAATGTTTATTCTTTTTGTTTTATTTTGTGTGTATGAGTGTGTTGTCTGCATGTATGTAAGTGCACTCATGCTGTGCAATGCCCACAGAGGTCAGAGTCCCTGGAAATAGAGTTACAGATGATTGTTAGCTGCCATGTGGGTGTTGGGAGCCAAACCTGGGTCCTCTGCAAGTGTAGCCAGTGCTCTTACCACTGAGCCATCTCTTTAACTCTCTTTTAACAGTTTCTATCTATATAACTTTTCATTTAAAAAATCTAGACATTCCCAAGGACTAGTAGTGTTCTAAAATTTGATACAATGCTAATTTTCATAATATTCTGTATCACCGAGGAAATAAATGTAGCCTTATTATATAACCAACAGACAAGAGTGTCCCAAGCTAAAATGTACAATTACTACAAACATCCATTTCCCATTTCCAACCTTCTGCCCAGCCCATTCATCTTCCAGAATGGTTTGTTTGCTGCAGTGCTGGAGATCAAACCCAAAGCTTCACACATGCTAAGCAAGCAGTCCCCCTCTGAGCTTTACTCAGCCCCCAATTTTATTTTAGCATTAGTTTTTGTTCTCCTCCTCCTCCTCCTCCTCCTCCTCCTCCCCTCCCCCCACCTCTGCTTCTTGAAACAGGGTCTTTCCCAGGCTGGCCTCAAACTCTTGACTCCCTTGCCTCAGCCTCCTAAGTGCTAGGATTACAGTACAGGTGCATGTCACCATGCTTGGCTCATTTTAGTTATAATGTGTGTTTCATCTGTCCTGCCCTCAGCTCAGTAAGAAGACTCAGAGCTATACTCTCACCATCAGCCAAAGTGTGTTGGTCACCAACCTGAAACCAGCAACCATCAAAATCTATGACTACTACTTGCTAGGTGAGTATGGTGCTCCTACCTGCATCTCCCAGAATATTTGTGTCTCAACTTTTGGTCTCCCTCTCTCTGTCTCCCTCTCTCTGTCTCTCCCTCTCTGTCTCTCTTTGTCTCTCTCTCTCATCTCTCTCTCTCTCTCTCTGTTTTCCTGTCTAAAATAAGCTGCATGTAATTATATTTCCTGATCTAAAACATTTTTTTTTTTTTTTTTTGAGACAAAGTCTCACTGTATAGCCCTGACTGGCCTGGAATTCTCTATGTAGACCAGGCACCTCACTCTCACAGAGATCTGCCTGCCTCTGCCTCCTGAATTTTGGGATTAAAGACATGGGCCAGCTTTTGACCCAAAACATTTTTAAAGAAGTCATCCACAGGACGGGGGATGAGTCTACTAGGAGAATGTTTGTCTAGCCTACTCAGAGTCCTTGGTTCAGTCCCCAGCACTAACAAAGAGTCAGGCATGGTGGTACAGGCCTGTAATTTGAGCACTTGAGAGGTGAAAGCAGAAGGATAAAGACTAACTCCAGCTACATAGAGAGTTAGGGGCCAGCCTGGGCTATATGAGACTCTGTTTCAAAACAAACAAATGAAATTTTAGTTTTAAAAAGTCATCCACAGAGCCGGGTGTGGTGGCACACACCTTTAATCCCAGCACTCGGGAGGCAGAGGCAGGCAGGCAGATCTCTGTGAGTTCAAGGCCAGCCTGGTCTACATAGTGAGTTCCAGGACAGCTGGGGCTACAGGGAGACCCTGTCTCAAAAAGACCAACAAAAAAAAAAGACATCACCCGACGAGATGTTTTATATTTTGTGGTCTTTAAACCAAAAGAATAAAATGGACCATTGTTCTCAAGGAGCTGACAAGGTCTGACTTTTTTTTTTTTTTTTTTTTTTTTTTTGCCCTGGTTAATAATTTACTACAGCATACAGATATTAGTGAGTGAAACTTCCTCCAGTCTAAATGTGCTCATGCCATGTAAAGACCTCTGAAAATGGCTAGAGCAGCAGCCCTCATGAAGCATCTATCTCTGAATGTATGAGACCCCCTTCCTCTAAGAATCACGTGTCGTTTCATTTTACAGATGAACAGGCAACAATTCAGTATTCAGATCCTTGTAAATGAGGTAAGTCTGTGGAGAGAAGGGTGGAGGTCAGGGTAGAATGACATCCTCCAGAAGAAGCTAAGAGAACTTTGAGGACTGGGAGCTGTGGGGAGAGAACTCTTTTTTGAGATGCTGTTATTGTCTTTGGAAACTTTTTTTCTTCCTCTTTTACAATAATTTTTTTTAATTGCTATTATTTTTATTTTATGTGTGTATGAGTATATTGCCTGCAAGTGTGTAAGTTGCACCCGTGTTGTGCAATGCCTGAGGAAGTCAAAAGAGGGCATCAGATTCCCCTGGAACTGGAGTTACAGATGGTTGTGAGCTGCCATGTGGGTGCTGGGAACCAAACCCGGATCCTCTGTAAGAGCAGTCAGTGCACTTAACCGCTGAGCCATTCCTTCAGCTCCTACTATAATATTTGTATTGATTCTTTGAGATGGAAGGTTTTCTCATGTGTGTGTGAAAGTGCACTTTTACAGGATCCTAATGTGTGCCTCAGGTTGGCCTTGAACTGGAGATTCTTCTGTCTCAGTTTCCCAGTTGGAATCATAGGCATGTGCCACCTGACTCAACACTGTCCTAAACTCTTGAAGAGAACTGGTTCTCTTGAAGAGAAGTCCACAGTTCACATTAGAAAAAACTAATAGTGGCATTTGTCTGATGGTTTCTATGTGGTTGTGTGTGCAATGTGTGCCTCAGGTTGGCCTTGAACTGGAGATTCTTCTGTCTCAGTTTCCCAGTTGGAATCATAGGCATGTGCCACCTGACTCAACACTGTCCTAAACTCTTGAAGAGAACTGGTTCTCTTGAAGAGAAGTCCACAGTTCACATTAGAAAAAACTAATAGTGGCATTTGTCTGATGGTTTCTATGTGGTTGTGGTTGTGTGTGCGTGTGTGTGTGTGTGTGTGTGTGCGTGTGTGTGCACATGTGCATGCATAGACTAGAGAACAACCTTGGATGTTATTCCTCAGGTGCTACCCACCTTATTTTTCTGTTCTTTTGATTTTTGAGACAGGGTCTCCCTGTAGCCCCAGCTACTCTAGAACTCACTTAGTAGACCAGGCTTGTTAGGTTTTAGAGAGCAGGAAAGAGAACAGAGTCAGGGAAAAACCAGCATCAGACCTTGAACAGATAGGACTGTGTTTATTCAGCACAGCCAGGGGCAGCAACTTTCCTGTGGGATGGAAGCTTCTGCACAGAGGGAGAGGTTGTTGAGGATTATATAGGATACGGCTGTGGTGGGCTACATATGGGTTAGGGCATTCTTGAGACATTTATAGCCCCTTCCTTCCTGGGACCACTTGCTCATGCTCTAAACAAGATAGGGAGAGATGAGGTTTGGATGTGGCTAACTAACAGTAGGGCAGGCAGGGTCAAGACATCTGTCTCAAGGAACTTCTGCTTTCTATCAGGGCTGGTCTCATTCTCACAGAGATTCACCTGCCTCAGCTGGGACTAAAGGCATATGCCACCATACCCAGCTCCACCTTATTCTTTTGACAGGATCTGTTTTGGCCTGGAGCTCACTGAGTAGTCTAGGTTGGCTGGCCTGTGAGCGCTAGGGACTCTGGAGGACTCTGCCTCGTCTCAAGGAACTTCTGCTTTCTATCAGGGCTGGTCTCATTCTCACAGAGATTCACCTGCCTCAGCTGGGACTAAAGGCATATGCCACCATACCCAGCTCCACCTTATTCTTTTGACAGGATCTGTTTTGGCCTGGAGCTCACTGAGTAGTCTAGGTTGGCTGGCCTGTGAGCGCTAGGGACTCTGGAGGACTCTGCCTCCTCAGTATTAGGAATACACCTGGATCTTTTTTTTTTTTTTTCTTTTTGAGACAGGGTCTCCCTATATCCCCAGTTGGCTTGGAACTTTGAAGACCAGGTTGGCCTCAAACTCACAGAGATTCACCTGCCTCTGCCTCCCAAGTCCTGGGATCCAAGGCATGTACCACCACACCCGGCACACCTGGAATTTTTTTTTTAACATGGATTCTGGAGATTGACTAAGGTCCTGGCGCATGCACTTTACTGACTGAACTATCTTTACAAGCTCCTCTGTGTGATCTCCAGATTTTCTACATGGATTCTGGAGATTGACTAAGGTCCTGGTGCATGCACTTTACTGACTGAACTATCTTTACAAGCTCCTCTGTGTGATCTCCAGATTTTCTACATGGATTCTGGAGATTTTTCTATTGGAATGAAAATGGATGGAATTTTTCCTAATTATTCTTATATAATATAAATATTTGTAACATTTTCATGATATAAAACTACTAAAATGAAAATATGAGACCCAAGCCGGGCATGTCGGCGCACTCCTTAGGTCCCAGCACTCGGGAGGCAGAGGCAGGCGGATCTCTGTGAGTTCGATGCCAGCCTGGGCTCCATAGTGAGTTCCAGGCCAGCTGGGGCTACAGGGAGACTCTGTCTCAAAAAAAAAAAAAAAAAAAGACACACAGAGAGTGAGAGAGAATGAGAGAAAAAGAGTGAGTGAGAGCAAGAGAGAGCGAGATTGAGGGAGAGGGACAGGAAGAGGGAGAGGGAGGGAGAGAGGGGGGAGGGAAAGAGAGAGAGCGCTGACTTGACAAGAGTCCCAGGTCTTAGGAGAATGTTCCTCTGTAAATAAGACCTTCTAAGACTCATAACTGTGCTGTTTATTTGTTTGCTTTTCAGGCTGGAAGCTGAAAGGAGACTGAATTAGTCCTGTGACAGTGCTAGACGCAGCTTGTGTCTCATTTTAGTAGTTCAGCTACATAATTCTGTTCTCTGATTGGCTCATGGATGGATGGACATACAGATGAGCCAGGCCAAACCTACATCCTCATGGGGAAGTGGGGCAGGAATACAGTGGAGGAAACACAAGGAAGGCTCCCAGTGGAAGAGAAGTGGCTTGGCTCTTCTCTTCATCCATTCATGAGACTCTCACCAGGTGGTGGCGGATTGTACAGGGAAGTAAGGATGACTCCTGGAGGTTAAATCTCGGGAAGATGGGACTTAGCTTTGAGACTAGGCTTCAAAAATAAAGTTTAAAAGGAACATCGGTGTGGCTTCTTCCCTTCCTTAAGCCTTTTAATCAAAAGCTCTTAAAATACGGTGTTAAAGATGCAGGGTCAAGGGGCTAGAGAGATGGCTCAGCTGATACAAAAAAAACAAAAAACAAAAAACAAAAACAAAAAAAACTTGCTGCTCTTCCAGAGGATCCAGATTTGGATCCCAGCATCTACTTGACAGCTAACACCTGTCCTTAACTCTAGTTCCAGGGAACCTGATACCCTGCAGGCATTGCACACACTTGGTATACTTACAGGCATGTAGGCAAAACACTCATATGCATAAAATAAAAATAAGATCTTCGAAAGAAAAAGATGCAGGGTCAGAGTAGAGAATCTAATTAAGGGGCTGTGTTCAAGGTGGCAGTGTATCTCAGTGGCAGAATGCTTGCTTAGCAAGCCTGAGGCCCTGGATTCTATTCCCAGTCTCTCTCTCCCACATGCACGCATGCACACACACATACACAGAATTATATAATGATGCAATCACTTGATTAAAAGAGTTTTACCTATCTCATAGCAACAAAAGGTTTTCTTTACATTTTCTTCTCCTCTTCCCCCTCCTCATTTGAGGTGCTAGGGGTTGAACCTAGGGCCTCACACATGCTAGACAAGTATTCTACCACTGAGCAATATCTCCAGCCCTTTTTCATTTTACATTAAAAAAAATTTTTTTTTAGAAGAAGCATTTCATTACAGCTTTAACATACTCAATAACAGTTTCCAGAGCAAAGATATATCTCTTTTACATCTTTTAAAAAATATTTATTTTATTATTTTTATGTGTATGAGTATTTAGCTTGCATATATGTAAGTGGACTGTGTGTATGCTATGCCCATGGAGGCCAGAAAAGGGAGTGAGATCATCTGGAACTGGAGTTACAGATGGTTGTTAGCTGCCATGTAGGTGCTGGGAACCAAACCTGGGTCCTCTGCAAGAGCAGCCAGTGCTCTTAATCTCTCCAGTTCCATCAGTCCTTTTTTATACTTTATTTTGAGACAGGTTCTCACTAAATTACCTAGGCTGTCCCTGAAATCATTCTATAGCCCAGCTGGCCTTGAACTTCTGATCCTCCTGCCTCAGCCTCTCAAGTAGCTGAAATTACAGGCCTGAGCCACCAAGCCTGACTCTTCTTGTGCTTTCTTTATCTACAAGCCTTTTTCTGTTTTATTTCTTATATTTAGAGAGGCCATCCAAAACTGAGTGTTGTGTATGGTGTGAGGTAGGGTTATGGGACATTGTTTTCCTGTGTGACTATCAACTGACTGAGTATCATGTCCTGATATACCGCCCTTTCCTTAATTCAATTACACCGCTATGTCACATTGTCGTTTGTTTATTGAATTTTGGTGTATTTCATACAGAACATCCTAATCAATCTTAATCATCTTTAAATCCCCTTCCCCACTGGCACCCTCCCATACCCCCATTTTGTGGCCTGAATTCCCTCTGGGTCTCTTGCACAGACAAACCATAAAATATATTTTATGTGAATTTATTAACTTAAAAAGGAATGAGAACCCAGTGCCTAGCCCCACACCTCCAGCAGCGTGGCTCAGAGCCCGCTATATCAGGCTGTGCCTGGCTACCATAGTCCCCCACTAGCATTAGCTCATGCCTCAGGGGTCAGCAGTCTCGCCCAGGGTCCACAGGAGTCAGTCCATTCCATCTTTGAGTTGCTGTACTGGCTGCTCGTTCCCCACACCACACCAGCTACCAGCGGCTCTTGGCTTCTGTCCCACGATGGCTCCCGGCTTCCCTTCGTAGTCCACACTCCGCATCAGGCCCTGCCCATTGGAGGAACCAGCCAATTGGGAGACACACCCCCGCCCCGGAATTCATACCTTCTATCATTTGCCTTAAGGCCTATTGTGTGAAGTTAGTGTCTCCAGACATCCCTCACTGCAAGTTCATCTACTGAGTTCTAGTCAGCCTATCTAGAGTATCTCCCTTCAGGAAGAT